AACTGAAATAACTGAAACTCCTGGTGCCTTTGTTGAAAAGCTGATAGATTTTCAGCTGGTCAAGGAATCCTTCGCCCTTTATGTAGCCGGATAGTTCATTACCGTTCTCACAAAAGTTCACGTTTGGATCCTATGCTGAGCCAGTTGATACATTCGCACTATTCTCGAAGATCAGTTTTCATGAAATCATAATATCTGCGTCTGTACCTCCAAATTAGTATTATCCATTCGGCTTTTCTAGTTGGAATTCTGCATTCAGTTCTCATCTTCTCATTTGTACTAAAAGTCTCGCCGATTGCATCATCCTTGCTTTTCTCACTCTAATCGCGTTGCATAAGAGTAATCTACAACTTAAGAAGTTGCGTATTATGCAATTTTCTGCGTGCTGTTGCTAGCTACTTCCTCTCTGCTTCTCAGAACACTGTACCCTGTCTCCTTAAGTCAGTATTCTGTCTTCATTGTGAGAAATTAAGCAGTAAACAAATTTATCTTCTGCATAATGCGTCTCTGATGGTGCAGTTAATGTGACACGGCGTTGGCAAACGATTACTTCACACATTGTCTTGAAATAATGCATGACCTTGCCGGGAAGACAAGGTTGCGTTTGTGTTTAATTAATTGTTCTGGGAATTGTAGTTGTGTTTTAAGCTAGAAATACATGCACGACTATTGGACACAACAAGAGCAGATAGAGTTAATACATATTGCTTAGTCATGAACAAAGCATAAGTCACACTGGGCAGTGTTACAGAGTCAGAAAACTGATGTCACAGCGAGTAAAATTGTATCTTTTGCGACGACAAGCCTTGTGGCGGGAACAACGAAGTGTGTGTTTTCTTACGTAGAAGTGACGTAGACTGTGAACATCTTCCACCGTACGTAGTAATGAACTCGCTATCGGAAACCCGATTTTAATTACATTTCATATTGGAAAGTTTTACGAAAACTTGTGGAATGTTACGTCATGTGAACTGATAGTCAGTGACCGCTCTGCACAACGCAACATCCCAGAAGACAGACATCTTCAAACTACTCACCTGAATGACCGTCAACTGCCCAATGAATGCACTGTGAAACATTGCTGGCTAGCTACCGTTTTCGAAATACGTAGTGCTCGATGTTACGATTAAAAACAGTGGTTTTGTTACCGGACATTTGCTGTATAACAGATAGACTGTATAGCTAAAAGTTAAAATGCTCAGTCTGTTTAATTAACAACCTTCTTTTCTTCGTGTTGTATTTTTCGTATTTGGTAAGAAAGCCAAAAGTCAGTGAAGCGTACGTTTGACTTAAGTTCTTCATACATGTCGCCAAAGATATAGGACATGTGTTAACAATTTTAGGACATGTAATTTGTTGACAATTACTGAAGACCAGAGAAATATTTCCTGCCTGAAATACGGTGCTATCAGACCTGACCGGAAAACGAGAATACGCACTTGTCTGGTTTAATGCTGTCTGGACCGCAGAGGAAAGTTTTGCTGGGAATCACGTCCATTTGTAGACGCTGTAACCCGTTATGTTCATATGACCTCGAGCCAGCCCGAGTTTTGTGTTTGCTAAGTGTTACGGTTGAACGAAAGGTTGTTTATTGTAAAGGTTATAGTTTGATGCCGAAACTGAATCAGAGATCACCTGCTGATCGTCTGTTCGTAACAAAGTGTCATCTACATGTTATTATTACCCACGGACTATCACTGTTGAGTAATGAAGGATTTCTGTTTCATACTCCTTAAGCTCCTGGTTTGATTTTTGTCGAGGCCTACCCTGTGGCTTTCTTAGAAGTCCTTCGTTCCTTTTAGATATAATCCTAGGATATCACCTTAAAATAGGCCACGATGGTTTATTACACATTCTTCCTTCCCAATTTATTGTTGATAATCATCCTGTTGGTGCAATGTAACCTAATGTAGGTGGCAAATGTTTGTCTTAATAGCTTGATAATTATTAAATTGTCACTTGTTTATATCCATTGTCACATGTCGATAGGGTTTTATCATGGTTTGTAACACAAGTTTGGTCGGTTTTGTCTGGTACAGGAGTCTTCGTACCATTAGCCTTGGTTTAGCTTCAAAGTAATGTATTTGAATTATGTAGGGGGGGTCGCAGTTTGAGTCTCGTCTGTGGCCCTTCCCGACTCGCGAAGTTCCCCCAAAGCCTGTTCATTGGATAATTAATAAAACACATAATCACCACTGCCTCTCGCTTCTGTTACGTTTTGATATCATTAAATAATCACCAGAGATTGTTCAGGATATTTGTTTCATATATGTAAGGGGGATCAAGGTTTCGGGTCTTCTCAAAATTCCCCACAGGGAAATCCTGTAGCAGTGCCTTAAAATGTGATACAGTTACTTATTTCCGCATCCTAATTACAACCAATTACAGACTTCATGGTGATACTTATCACCACTACTTAAAGCTGGGTATGACCATGATTTCCATCTTAGCTCGAAATTTTCTAGCCTGGCTGTCTTTTTCGTGGTTTTATCATTATCCCGGGTAAATTCGGGAATATACTTTAAATAGCCAATCAATGCTTTGTTCCAGACTTTTCCCACTTCATAATCGCCGTGTAATTTCTCAGTAAACTCAGAATAACGTATTGAGACGACAGTGTCGTTAAGTAAACTTAAAAGGCATAAATATGTAGCTTATAACTTCGCCGTGCAAACTAGTTCTTGAGAAGCTGTTGAAAAGGGCCCGCGTAATTCGAAAGCCAGTATTGCGTCTTACCAGAAACCGGGAAATTTTATGAACGCATTTAGAAATCTGAAAATAAAGCTGAAATTATTTTATTATATATAGTCGGTTGCAACTAAACAGACACTCATGTGGTAGAACCCGAAATCTGCAAACGCCTAGTAAGAAAACTGTCAGCTTTGAATGTATATTAGCAATGCCAAATTTCATCTAAATCCGCTGTGACGAACGTATTGAATCTACCTTTTAACCTCTTAAGTATCCACTACCTACGCAGAACTGCTGACACTTTATATGACACTGATGACTCGAGGCGAGATGACCACTATCAGCGACACCACAACATACACTGAATGCTGAATATTCTTGTGTTAACTCACCTGCAAAGCTGACATGCTGACATTAAGCGTTTAGCAACAACTGTACCATATGTCCAGCCACTCTCGTATTTAAATAAAAGACTGAAGCTTACTTCGCTCACGATATCTTATTGGTTCTCAGGATACCCTCTGTTTCAAGGTGACAGCGAGGCGGGGCCGGTAATGAAGTTCCCCCTCTACGATGCCCCTCGAAGTTTGTGTTATAATTCTTTGCAATAAATGTTCACGCCATTGAACCCGTTCCAATGCTTGGTGGTTATCATTTCCAAAGTTTGTGTTAGGTTAGGTTAGGTTATGGTATAATCTCATAAATGAAATGTCGACGCTTCAGAGTCTGAACTACTGACAGCATAATTAAATAAATCACAAATAAAATAAGTTAAAATCAGCAGTAACGAGTTGTAAGTTTCATTTGTTATGCGTTCTTTAAACCCAACACCTACAGAGAATAAATTGAACTCTCTTTGCCGAAATTATATCTGTCCGTCCGCTGGTTTAACCATTCAATAAATTTTGGTGAACTTGTGTATTAAAAGTTGCCTCGAGGAATTTTTTAATGTTGCTTCCAGCTACATGAAACTCTGTTCTCTGTACAGATAATGGGGTGGGGGCACATTAAATTTAAATCGTAGGTAAAATATAAATCTAATTAAGATAGAGACATTTAATTTCGCACGTTTATCGAAATTGTTGATTGTTTATTTATTAATATAAATGGAAGATAATTTGTGTCATTTTAAGGACTGAAGTGCATTTACACATAGACGAACAGGAGCTCAAGACAGAATACCTGAAGACAGATTAACATAAGAAGTAGATAGAAAGAAGAATTCGAATAAAAGTGGAACAAAAATAAATCAGACAATATACCAGAAGGAACAGTAGAAAAAACAAGAAAGCGAAGGAGAATTACGGCTATATAAATCAGGAGCGAAAGAGAGAGAAGATTACAACCATTCGATCGTTCATGATGAATGGCGACGATAGGTCGAACAGTTAGCTTTCAATTAATTACTGGCTAGAGTCTTGAGTGACGGCTTATAGTATAGCACATCAGCGCCTTCTTTAAGGCTAAAATGTTTTACACAATTAGCATAAAATGCGAGGACCATTATCTACACACCACGACATCTGCCGGAGTTAGCTGCTGGCTTAATATATTCTAGGTTTCCTGAAGATGAAATATTTTTACATATTGTGATACCAGCAGTTTTATAGCATTAGTGAGTTGTAATACCTCACTGCACAAATTCCGCAAGCGACTACATATTATTTAGATGAACATTGTGTTTCAAGGAGTTAAAGAAGGGTTAATATGTTAGATTTGAAGTTCCAGCGGCGGTGAAGGTGTCCACATTGATCTTCGCGATTAAGACGCTAGAACTAAGTTTAAAAACATAATAAAATGCAATTAAAATTGAAAGGGAAACAACTAAAAAAGAAAAATTATTTTCATTAAGAAACTGATGTATCAATAAACAAACTACAATATTCGTCAAAGATGTCAATGCTCCTGTAGACTGCATTGATAAAAATAAATACTGATGACTAAGGGAATTACTCTGAAATTAAGATTCAAAGTATAAACAAAGTAGTCTCAGATTAACCTAGTAGGTTGTACAGACCAATAGGATCCAAAATACCTTCTCCTCAAATAGAGTGTTAAGGAATTTGATATTATCTTTATATTTATAATCACATACGCCATTAAAAATCTTCGGTATCATAAATATGCAAATTTCCTTTGAATTATTTCTAGTTTAGAGTTTTCGGTAATTGTAATTGATTTCCAGACAACATATCGATCTCGAAAGGGACGAGGTTGCTGTACAAAACCAAAATGCTGTCAAGAGTGGAGAAGGAAGATGGATTGTGGCAAATTGAACACAGAAATAATAATAAATATTATTATAAGCTTTTGGCGGAAGAAATAGCTAAAATCTGTCACCATTATAAAATTCGTATGGTCTCACTGCTTTACTGTCATCGTCCAAAGTAATGTCCATTGCAGCATGAAGCTTATAGCTCTTTAGAAACGTGAACGTCTCCATTAACACACGGGAAGTTGCGATGTTAGTAACCTCTTGCATTGAAACTGTTGAACACATCTCGGATACTGTTATTATCTACCTGTAGGTCTGCATTTTTGAGTATTTATAAGAAAGAATGTTGCCTGCTTTCTATGCTCGTTATAGCAACCTTCTAATGATAATCATAACCCGTTTATGACACTTGTATGAAGGGTAACAAGCGAGTTAGTCGCTCTTTTCTTTTTAGTAAGAATAATGCAGTCAGCGCGAGAGATTTTTACTCTTTTATTTTTAGTAATAATAATGCAGTCAGCGCGAGAGATTTTTGTACAGAGAAACCAGTCGGCTACGTTCTTGTGCAGCGTTTGTGTTTGAATGTCCGCGAAAGAACACTACAAGGTGAACGGAGAGATATAATTGCGATAATGTTGATGAATGAAACGAAAATAGTGAAAGAATGCTCACTGAGGGATAAATAAATATTAAAAAGTGCAAATAAATGAGTGAACTGAACCATAAAACAAGGTACAGAGGAGAACAATAAAGAAGGAAGACAAACAGAACGTAAGAAAAATGAGAATCGACGAAAAGTAAAACATGTCTTGAAACGCAAGTTACAGAGTCAGAATAATAGGACAAGACGATGAAAAAGACCTGAAGAAGGAGGCACACAGTGTGTAGGGGATGCCGAGTACAGTTCTCGGATAGGCCTCTTTGTAACACTCTTACACGGAGGTCGCTCTCTCGTGTGTTAGATATTTCGTATGACGGATGCGTCGTTCGGGCATTTCCGCTGCCTTTTCCTCGTGACATAATGTTTCCTTGTAACATTTGCTCATGAAACTCCACGCCACAACCCTTCGACTATGATACGTCGCAGAGTACGGACTTCTTCTTCTTATTATTATTTTCCCCCGTTCTCAGTATTCTCATAATTCTTCTCCACCTACTTATTCTCGTTCTTCTCCATCTTGTTTCCCCCACGGATTACGCGCAATCCTATTACGACTTCATGGCCGTCATTTGAATAGTCATCAGTTTCATGCTCCTTTGGTTTGTGAGAAAGAATAAGTTATCAGAGTCCTTTGATTGTATTTTCTCAAATCTTCAATGTTTTATTTAATCTAATACATATTTCCGCCTTATGACTAAATCCAAACAGGCTACAATTAACTGAACGGAACACAGTTTTTATTGAGAAGCTGGCAGTATCTCAGCCCCCGCCTCTTTTGGAAACTGATTTTTTTTTTCCATGTCTTCACAACATTCCGCTGTTGGTCCATATCCTCAGCCAGATGAGTCCAACTCACTCCCTTCCTCCCACTCTGTTCCGTAATATTCATTTTAAAATTATCCTCTGATTGCCGCCATCTACGTCTTCGGAGTGATCTCTTCCCTTCAAATTTTCAACCAGAATTTTGTCTTAAGGTGTTACACGCGCATTAAACCGAACCTGCTGTGGTCCCCACTCGATACTCATTTTCTGGTAATTTATATTTCATGGAACAAGTAATTACTCTTTATAGACACCCAGAAACTTCCACGTCCGCCGAAATATCCAGTTACATCTTATATTTGTTTATATTACAATACATCTATGTACTTTAGTTATAAGTAAAGGGACTTACGAACGCTGAAGCGACCCGGACTGGATATCACGTTGCCCGCTATTTTACAAAGTGCCTAAGTACAATTTCCCTGAACGTACCTGTCCCCCCATTACATAATCGCCTCGTGATTACAAGGCTACAAGACGCCTAATGGTTATAGCAGGTACGTGGAAGGTTGTTTTGTCTGGGATTAAATTCCCGTGTGTATCGGAGTGTGCTGGGACAGTCCAGCATTGTACAGACACAAACGCAGTTTTCTCGTCATGGTTAACATGTATATGTAGGAATAAGAATAAAACAGCGTTGATCATGTCCGAGCCACAGCGCAGCAAATTGTTCCAGTTGCCTGACCCTCGCGTGTTGTAGGCGGGACATTCCCGTAAGGTACCGTACCGTTTCATTAAAGAATTTGTGTCATTTTGATTGACTGTGAAGTTGTAATATTAAACGTTGTTACGTTTTCAGTATTTATTTCAATTTGTCTTCTTCTATCACTCTTCTTTGATTCTTGATTTCTGCCATTTATATTTTTTATTTATCTTCGTTTCTTTCTGTATTTGTTCCTTTAGCTCTCTATTTTCGCCAGGTTCGCTTTATTTCTTTTTACATTTTTCATCGCTACTATTCTCCTGTCTTACTTTATTTCGTTTATTTCCTTCTTCTTTCGTTTATCTTTTGTTTCTGTATTATTTCATTTCTCAATTTGTTGTACAATGAACCGTTCCTACGAAATTTAGGAATGTTGATTTGAGAGTTATATTCGGGTGATACGAACCAATGCCTAATTCGCTGACAGTGCTTAGCGTTTACCCAAAATTGCTTAGTTACTGTGTAATTAGCTCACAATAATAGTTTGAAATGATTGCCTTGAGCTCTTATTTAACCTTGAGAACGATGAATGTCCATTAGCATCCGATGCCGCTGTTGGTCCATATCCTCAGCCAGATGAGTCCAACTCACTCCCTTCCTCCCACTCTGTTCCGTAATATTCATTTTAAAATTATCCTCTGATTGCCGCCATCTACGTCTTCGGAGTGATCTCTTCCCTTCAAATTTTCAACCAGAATTTTGTCTTAAGGTGTTACACGCGCATTAAACCGAACCTGCTGTGGTCCCCACTCGATACTCATTTTCTGGTAATTTATATTTCATGGAACAAGTAATTACTCTTTATAGACACCCAGAAACTTCCACGTCCGCCGAAATATCCAGTTACATCTTATATTTGTTTATATTACAATACATCTATGTACTTTAGTTATAAGTAAAGGGACTTACGAACGCTGAAGCGACCCGGACTGGATATCACGTTGCCCGCTATTTTACAAAGTGCCTAAGTACAATTTCCCTGAACGTACCTGTCCCCCCATTACATAATCGCCTCGTGATTACAAGGCTACAAGACGCCTAATGGTTATAGCAGGTACGTGGAAGGTTGTTTTGTCTGGGATTAAATTCCCGTGTGTATCGGAGTGTGC